ACACCATCCTTGAGCGACAACAGCAGCCAAGACGCCCCAATTGGTCCAGACTCTGAGAGCCAAGCATCAGAGTCAGACGGAGACAACTCTGACGAAGTCATCGACGCAGATGCCTCCACCTGGGCTCCGTTTTCGAGTCTTGAGGTGTGTGTACGCTTTGCACTTTGTCTGACCTTGTTCTGACTTGCTCTTATCATTTTTTAGCAACTTGTTGGCCTGTTGATTTTGGGCTCTGCGAGGACACTGATGTCCATGCTTCAATACGAAAGAGTGCGATCCTTTGTCGCACTCCTTGATGTGAAGCTTCCCGGATACAAAAGCTTACAGAACTGTCGCCGTAAGCTGAAGAAGACCTATGATTTCAACATTTCGGAGACCTCAAGTCCACTTGGTACCCTGTGCTATTCTCGGCAAGTGGAGCAAATTCTGAAACAGGCAAGTCATAGGAAGCAACTTCCTTTGCACTTCCTACTGAGGAGCAAATTGAGGCCATCATGTACGAAATGGAAGACAGTTTTGGGGATGCATTAGGAGAGGATGAAGAGGACTATCAAGATTTCAATGCTTGAGGTAGTGTTAGATTTGTATTGCATGTGATCTTGTGTCATCCTATCCTGTCTGTCACTTGTTTTCTTATCGACTTTTGAATTTTCTGTCTCCCTTATTTTGATTGTCTTCTTTCTCTACGTTCATTTAAAGTATCAAGTAGCCTGCGTTTTTACTGTCTCCTCTCTCAGGATTGGCTTGATTTTGCTCACATCAAATTTCTGTACAAGTCTCTCTTTTTTGAATCTTGTTTTTAAGCTATCTGCTCTTTGTTTGTCACTCATTTTCTTTCCTTTCTTGTATGCTTTCCTCAAGTAGCCTGTGTTTTTACTGTCTTCCATTTACTTTCATTTGTTTTTCTCAATTACTCCCACATTGACTCTATGTTGACGTTTCTCTCTTTTGAATCTTGTCCTTTATTTACGTTTTGTCTTTGAATTCTTTGTATCTGTTTGTTTGAAAATCAGACATGTGCAATTAGTTGTGTTTTATCGCTTTCTAAATGCAAGCTGCAAGCAAACGGGGATAGAAATTCAATATCCACAGTGAAGATTGCTTTCTTTCAGAATAAACCCACGTGCAGACTGGCCACCAACCGGAGTGCAACCCGTGGTCAGAGGCTCTAACACAGGGCTTGCAATCCCTGGTCCTGCTGAAGTTTGGGGAGTGATCGGCACAGTGACCATCAATAAGCTGCTCTGCAACCAGAACCAATAGCAGCGGGTCAGACTCGGTAGTGGACCTCCACGTTTTCTCAACGCTGCATGCCTGCCAGCAATAACGGTTACACAACTGTGATTCCACCCAGGTTGGGCAACCAGTTTCATGGGTTCGTGGTGTAGTGAAGTCCTGGTTATGGTCGTGGTTCTATTCCACTTGGGCGATTCCCCGATGCACGCTGAAATCAGCAATACAACCAATCCAGCTAATACTTTAACGCCGTTTCGCATATGTGACTTGCAAGTTGGCCAGATGATTGAGAAGAAAACAGAACAGTACGTTTCTGATTTCATCGGCGTCGATTTAGATGGCGAACAGGTTGGTCATTTCGCTGGTTCTCTATGTCACCCTGCTTCTTACACACACATGTGACTGACGAATCAGTCGCGGCAACTGCAGTTCTCTTTGCCCCAAAGGGATTGGGAGGTCACTCGCGCTCGCGCTCACGACATCTGGGCAATGGCACAGATGCCGCACAGCAAAACCGCGGTTGAGAGTGAAGCTCGAAAGTACGGATTTCGCGATTCGGTGCTCGATTACTTCATCAAAAAGGTTCACCTGGCTTACGACTCGCCTGAGACCTGTGATGTGCACCAGCTTTGTGAAGGTTTGAATGACCAACTGGGCGAGCGGTTGTTTAACCCCATGTTGAGGTTAAAAGGTTTGTTCACGGTGTTCAATATCTTCCATGCGTACGAACATCCTGTCTGACCGAGTCATCACAGGTTTCAATGGGCATCAGGATACTCCCATTGAGACTTTGCATGTTCTTCTACTGGGTATTGCAAAATACCTCTTCAGAGATACTATGAAGTCGCTCGGAATTCTGAAACCCGGCTCATCATGACCGCGAACTCTCGGCGCGGTGGAGGGATTTCAACACGAAGGGTTTGAAGATCCCGCCTATACAGCCAACTACTCTCATTAATTTTTACCAGAGCCTCGTCGGAAAGGAGTTCCGGACGGTCCTTCAAACAGTCCCCTTTGTATTATTTGACCATATCCCCAGCAACAAACGGCACCTTTGGACATCGTTGTGCCTTCTAGGATCTCATGTTTTCCAGACCGAAATTGTGCATATGGATAATTACCTGCAAGACATGGAAGAGGCGATTCTAGTTTTTTACTATCAGCTTATTATGACTTCGGCTCAGTGGGTTAACAAGCCCAAGTTCCATATGTTGACGCACTTGAAAGACTCCATCGCACGATTTGGACCGCCGTCATTATTCATGACCGAGAAATTCGAGAGTTACAATGCGGTTCTACGTGCCGCTTCAGTCCATTCAAACCGCATGAGCCCCGGTCGAGATATCGCAAACACCTTCAATAATTATCAACTCATGCGAGCTCTCCTTTCAGGGAACAGCTTTGTCGACAAAGAGCTCCAAGCTCGGGTTTCAGCAGGTCCCAAAGTGCAAGGACTTCTGAAGACCATGCCGGAAGTATCTCAGGCGTTTGGACTCAATCCCAAACTCGATCGGGTGTCTGTGTTCGCGGTGGGACGTAAGTATGGAGTCTTTCACTTACATCGGCTGCCACTGACCTTGAATCTCTTGCAGCGCGTCATGAAAGGGCAGAACACGAGCAAGTGCCTGTGTATCTGCTTAGCGAAGCGCCCGGGGTGGTGTGGCTACAACACTCATCTGTCACATTGCGCAACGGACAAGTGGTCGAGAAGACAGACTTTGTTAAGGTTAGATAGTCTTCCTTCTCGCCACCTGTTTCAACAACACACTAACAGGGACACTGTCCAAAGAATGCGCGAGGTCACTCCGTGGGGCAAGTCGTGGCCATGTGGAAACCGGAAGGAGTAAGCGCCAGCTCAACCGTCATTCTCCTGCAAGACATTCAAAAGGGACCGATATCGCCTTTTTATGGGATGCGCGAACTTGTCAGGACACAACATCAAGTATGGGTGAAATTATCAGTCAGTCTTTGGGTCTCCATCCTGCCAGTGTTTTGGGAGTTCTCACTGACTGTGTGTCCGCAGGACATTGCCTGTCTGTTAAACGTACAACATAACTGCCATCGCTCGTTGTGCTCAGTAATTGATGGACGCAAACAAAGGCTCGAAAGGAAAGATACCACTACCTCAGTCAGTAGTGTCAGGCATCAACAAACGGACC